TGGAACTAAAACTTTCTGGTCTCTCCTTGGAAGTTAGTAAGATGGTGGTTTGCTTTCACTTCATGGATGACTATAAGGCTCTCACATTGGAGAAAGCAGAAAATAAGTGCAAAAAAGAATGTTATCTTTTTTAAAGAACCACTTAATTGGAACTTAATATAAAATAATTATTTCTCAGAATATCAGAGATTATTTACATGTGTGTAAAAACAAATAATCAAATCAAGTAAAATTGGTAATCCTTCTGACATGTCAATGCAGACGCTGTGCATATGCACATATAATTTGCATTCACAGTTAATAACGATCTGATTTATAAAACAAAGCAAAACAATCTAACGGAAAAAAATCCATCAATGATTTTTATTTAGTAGCTGCAGACAGTTGGTTTAAGACAACTGTATTGAACTAACATCACTAGGATAGGAAAAAAAAAAACCTGGCAATTTCTGGCAAGAAAATCATAAATAATTCACTGAGCTGCTCTATGCCTTCACCTCATACAGATTGCACCATATGTGCTAATGATTCTGCAGAACAGCCATTAGGCTTACAGAGCCTCTGCAACCATGTAAAAAAAAAAATCCCTCAGCTTTCTATATAATGTAATGAAGATGGACATGTCATGATTCATCAGCGGAAGGGCCAGAGACACAGAAGCAGCTTTATGTGCAATGTCTCCTCAAAATTATTGACTGATTGCAAAAACAGTCAAGTGACAAAGAGTTGGGAGAACGCAAAAAACCTCCCCTGAACCTATACCCCATTAAGAAAGAAACACAGTTAATATCATAAAACACTTGCACTGTGAATTACAGGCATCCTGTGAGCGATATAATTACAGCTGCTAGTGGTACAATTACAGTTGCAACTGTGCAACAGATGAGAACATGATCTACCCTAAACAGAGCACTGGTTATTTTCTTTATCACCCTGAATTTCAGAAAATCTGCTGATACTAAGCAACATCCATTCTGATGGCAGGTTTTCTAATCTTCATTCTATTTCCACAGATCAGATCTGCTGAATTAACGTGAGTAAAAAGGAGCTTGCTTTTGAGTATCTAAAGATGTTTTTATACGTATCTTTATGTGTGTATGTCTCTCTCTATACACACACACGAAAAGAAAAAAAGTTACTAATAAACAAATACCCAAAATTCAGCTGCAAGAAATTAAATGTTCATCATGAAAAAGTGACCTCTGGGGCACAGGTTAGAAGGAAACACTATTGAAAAAGCTGTTACAGTGAGGCTATCAAGTAAAGAGGTATTCTTTCTATTTGAAGCTCTTCCTATGGAAGTTCTTAGGCTGGATTGAAGCCTTTTGACATCTCCCTGTATGAAGCAATTTATAAATAGCAAGACACACGTCATAATCTCATCTCATTCTGTGCTGTACTAAAAAAAAGCTCACTGATGACTGCTTAGTAGGTCTAGATATTTTCCTTCCCTCTGATGTTCTATTATCTGTTTCCTTCCTTTTCAGGAAAGAGATGACAAGAAAGGGATTTAGGCATAATTCTTACTCTTGTTCCCCCATTTGTGAATGAAAAAGGGGAAGGACAGTGTGTGGAAACACTAGGCTCCTTTTCAAGTACCAGTGTGAAGCATGCAGATGTTGTATCTATACCAGGAGATAGGGGTCCCCCTGACATTACTCTCCTCCTGGGACTGATGTAAATCAGATTCAAATTCAAGCTTCAACCGCTGACAGCCAAGATGGAATGCAACAGGGGTAGGGGTTTGCACAACTGGCTTAAATTTTAGTAAATGCGTTAAACTTAGTCCTTACTCAAAATTTCCCCTCTATGGATTGGACAGCTCTTCACATTTCCTGACTTAACTCACAGACACTATTTATTTTTTGAAAGTGAGAGAACGATGTGGTGAAGCAACAACATTCTAGTTATCATAAATACCACTAACAACTAAGTAATCCGTCTTCTTTTCTGTGCTGTGACCAAATAATCACTCTTGTGGGAAAGGGACAAAGATCATCTGCATGATTTTGATCTACTTTTAAGAAAAACGTAGCGATCATTATAAGGATGTTACGTGGGCGAAAAGTGGTAAAAAGAAAATGGAGAGGAGAAAAAAAGGCATGTGTTCGTATGTTTGTCCTAGTCCTTTCAGAGCTGATTTTCTTCAAGGATTTTGAACACGTATGAAACATTCACTTGTTCTTATTCCCAGGCTTGGTCTGTTGCAGGTTGACATGACACCTGTATTTTCATCCTGAAGAAGGAGGTCACCACCTTGTTGACTTGAGCAAAACAAGTAGAAGCACACAAACTAGGAAGTCAGGACTATGGAAAGGGCAAACCTTTCAGGGAGTCAGCAAGAATCTGGGCAATTAAAACAAAAAGTTACAAGCAGCTGCATGTATTAATCTGACTTCAGGTCCCTTAATACTTTTTCACTCTAGAATAATATCCTTGTTTTTCAGCTTTTTTTTTTCCATAAAGAATAGCCCATAAAAACTGACTATACCAAAGAGATAGTGACTGTAAAAAAAGTATCTCTTTTCCTCTTTTAACCTCTAACATGGAAATTTTATTTCTAATTAGTAAGTAAAACAATTTTCAAGCACACATGTTTAAACCATCAGAATCCCTTTTATATTTCAGAGTTTAATTAAGCATCTATTTGTTTTCCTCTATTCCTAGTTTATGAGGCTACTTAGACTGGTATCATTTTTTTGTTAAATTGAAATTTTATCATGCATAAATTGTTTTTAATGGATAATGAAAAAAATCAGGTGGGCATTTATTGCCAGAATTTTTATCAGTAAGGACAAATTTGCAAAGTCCGGACACGGTAATTAAAGACACAAGGAACTTAAGGTCTACCAGGAATGGCGAAGAGAATATATTTTGCTTACTGTTATGATACATTTAGTGCTGCTGTAAAGGGGCAAAATATCTATTTCACATACACCTGTAAGGCACTTTATTCTGTGAAATGTGGAACGCAGGCGCAGAAGTGAGAGATTTCTGTCTCTCCAGGGACGTAAGCATCCCTCTGCACGGAGAAACGCGGCATGTGTCCTTGCCAGGCTGGAGGGGCTCGGTCTCTGTGCCAAAAGCAGAGCATGGGCCTTTGCAGCACTTCAACTCTGTGCTAAAAGCGACGACGGCAGCACAAGCCCCTGCACGGCACTACTCTTGCACTTGAGCAGAAAACTGAGGAAATATCCCATGTGATTTTCATCGTACAAAAGTTACTGTATCTGTTGGAAATTCCAAGCCATAATGGTCACATGCCGGACTATTTTTTACCTCTCCTTAGTAGTCTATCGCACACATTCACAAAGCTCAGTCACGACCTATGCCAGCCATACTTTTGGTTTCATTTGTATCACCCCAATCAATAAAACACTCTGATACGGTGAACTAAATCACATCATTCCACTCTGAAACTATAGTGTGGCAGTGTGAGAAAATCCTTTCTCTAGAGAAGGGACACCAAACATTTCTGTCACCTGTGTTTATGTGTGGAGGAATAGAAGGGAAGAAGGAATAACCTTTAGTAATAAATATGTGTCTCATAACAGAAGATTTTTCAAGATGACTGAAATTAAAATAGTTAACAATCACAAACTTTAATATTACTAGAAAATTGCTAGATTGAACTAACATTACAAAATTCAGATTAAACACATTCATCTCTTGTTTGTGATGATATTTCTACTGCTCCTGGGGAAGAAATCTAAACCAGAAGGCAGAGATAAGCCAGTATTGGGAGGATGTTCCCTGATCCCATGATTTTTGGCACTTCTGTACAGCAGGCTCTGTATCTGTTTCCACGCTCTCTTCATGAAGTGAATTAAGACTCCAAACCCAAGTAAAGATGTCAGACTCCTAAAAGTGCCAGGAACACATCACCTGGCCAGCCTTGACATGTATCCCAATTGCTATAACATATGAGCTTATTTTACTTCCCACTGTAGTAATTTCTGTAGCCAGTAAACACTAGTGAGTTATGAGAAAGATTTAAACACACTAGGAGGGTGTTGCCCATAATGCTATTTAACGGACCTTTGGAGGAAAAGATGAAGGTAAAAAGAAGACAGATTGATCAGTTTTATCTGATCTGAAGACAAAAACACAATGACAATGTGACATCGAAATAATTCTGACCCTAAAATACATCGATCTAATCTCACTATGTGTTGGAGAGTAACTTCTGATATAAAAGGCTGTTTGCTCTCAATGGAAGCCATTTCTACATAATCCTAAACAAAAATAAAGGGGAAAACGACCTAAAAAGCAAAAAAAGTTAGTACAAAAAGCAAGTTTTTACTTTGAATATTGGATTTGTCCCATTTAACTTTTCAAACATTTGCAGCCAGACTCAAGCTAATCATCCGCTATTACTCTGAAATCAACAGGAAGACATAGGTACCTACAGAGGGCAAAGAATCACTCCATCTATCCTAAAATGGAATGAACAGCCATATAGAGGTGTCCTCAGTGAATCCAGAGGGAAAATATATGTATTAATTTTCAGATATTCGGAGTTAGCCAAGGTAAATATCACAGCAAATAAATCCTGATGTCCCCTGCAATTCTAAAATTGTATACATGAATTCTTTATTAGCCCAAATTTACAGGAAACTTTATACTCTACATAGAGGATTTGACATTTCTATCATATGTTCCCAAATTAAAAGTATTCTCTGCACTACAGAGCACCACGTCTACTCCCTCCCGCACCTGCCAAAGCATTATTGCTAGAAGGGATGGCAACTTGATATGAATATCAGTTCTGGGTCTCTGGGTCCCACTCCCTCTGTAAGTACACGTCCCCGCGGCCCTTGACACGGACAGCACTCACACAAGCTGACAAGGGTTTGTGTGGGAACACTTCCCTGGTTCATGGCATAGCATTACATTTTAAGAGAGGGTTATACCAAAGCAAAGGTGATCATTTCAGCTCAAGCAGACCACATGCACACTGGGAAAACACAGGTTAGGTAAAAGCCATGCAAGTTATATACCTGGTCGTGTGGTGAGTCCTCTGTCTGCAGCTGGGCGGGCATCGACTGGCTCAACTGGGCATGTGCAGAAAAGAAACAAAAAAGCAAACAAAAAATAAACAAAATCCCCCAAAACCATAAAGTCAACTGCTCTTCTCTGTTGGGACAGTGCAGGAGAGACATACTGCATAAACAAAGTTACCAAAGCAACAGCTAGAAAAGATCTGCCTTCAGTTAATCCTGGAAATAAAAGGAAGGGATGGGCATGACTTCAAAATGAAAGCTTCACAGCTGATGTGTCAATTTTGCACCGTATTTTGGTTACTGCTTAAAGTGAGAAACCATCGACATCACAGAATTTCTGTCTATAGAGCGAAATTATGTTCATCACGTGCAAACTTCTTCCACTCAGCTGATCAGAACCAGCAGCAAGAGCGGACATGGTAAGTTCTTGCAGTTACTCTTAATCAATGCTAACTTATAAACCCTAAGTCAGCAAACGATACTGCTGACTTAAGCAAGGGAACTTCCCATCTTCTCAGGAAGCCTGTGTCACTTGCTAAGTGTTCCTATGGGTTTGACAAACAACCTACCATGCTTGTAAGTGAGACCCTATGAGGCACCCATGTCCTTTGCACACAGGAGATGACTGCAATAGCTCCTGCCTCCGGAAAAAAGCAGTAAGTCAGCTTTACAGTAGCTGCAGACTGAAACTGCGTCTGCAGATCCGACTTGCTTGTGTTTCCAGAAGGGCAAAATTTTCACAGAGCTTGCTGGCCTGGTGCTGCACAGCCAAGCCATCAAACCACTTTCCTTCACAGCAGTTCAGAGTGGCACTAGCAGACCACGTAATTGCTTTCCTTACAGTGTGCTATACAAAAACCAATTTCTGTCCTTAACTAAAAACTACAATTTTAAGTATTTTCCTATTTAAGTTTTCTGCTAGGTTTTCCAATATTGTTGGCACCAACCGCCAAGCAGGTCAGCAGTAACTTTCAGTGGAAAGGACTGAAGGGAAGAAACAGCCAAGGAGCAGCATTACCCAAACTGCTCCTGCAGAACCCTCCTCTGTCACCCTGGCTCCTGCCTCCTCCCTGGAAGGCTGAGGGGTTTTATCTCCCTCTCGCTCAGCACTCTGTAACCCTACAGCCCATAGCTATGGTGAACTGAGAGAGCAGGTTGTGGGTAGCAATAAAAACGGGAGTAGGTGAAGGGAGAAAAGGATGGAGGAAGTTTCTGTTGTACAGAAGCATGGATTTGACCTCAGGGTAATGCAGTATTTGTGGAGTTAGGTTAAAGTATTAATAATGAATAATTCTTCTTGTCCTCTATAGTTTTGGAAGCACTTTACAGGGGAAAAGGTAAACATTACTGGTACATTTCACAACTGACACAAAAGTGAAACGACTTGCTCAAGGTCACAAAACAGTTGCAGGGCAAAAACTGGAGGCAAAAGCTCAGAGCCAAAGGTCTTCTAAAGCAGATGATGATTCCAGGTGCCTAAGTGCAGCGTACCCTGGGCAGCAGGATACAAAGAAAGGCTGGTTTCTGGAGAGCCCTGAGCTGCCACCTTTTGAATTTCAGCTGCATTTCAAAACCTGCTTGCTCTTGCTCTGGTATTGATGTATGTATAAATAAATCTTGTCCATGCTCTTCCTCGTTGCCTGCCCCACTGGACCACATTGCCTCACAACAGTTGATATAGAGGGGAGAAGTTTAAACCTATTAACCCAGTGTTTATGATTAATAAAAACTCTAAGATGTACTGTGCATTATTATAAAAACGGCATTCTGTTTGATGCTCCAGAACCACATTTCTCTCAAACACACTTCCATGTGCACAGAATTACACAGAATTAAGACTGAAAATTTATTTTCCAAATAGCCTCACAAAACTAAATTGGTAGAGATCAGCTTATGCTGACTACTCAGGGCTTCATACAGGCTACACATCCCACCTTGTATCTAATGTGAATACCTTCAGAAAAGCAAGAGAGAATGTGGTTGCTTCTCTTTTCAAAAATAAAAAAAGGTGAATCGAAAAGCTCAAAAGCTGGTACAAGCCAGCAGGCGAGGAGAGCTATGTGATGCTCACCTACCAAGAACAGCATTGAAGGGTGTAACTCGGCAAGTTTTAAGGATAACACAATACATTCACAAAAAATCTCACTTCAGATAAATACTTTGCTGCTAAGGCTAACTGTAACTGCATGGTAAAATACAGAGGGCCAAACATTAAACCCAGTTAGTCACTGGAAAATGCCCAGGGACCTTGGCAGCATCAGAGATTCACAGCTGTTGGGGTTTTGCTCCTCAAACATTAAACCCAGTTAGTCACTGGAAAAATGCCCAGGGACCTTGGCAGCGTCAGAGATTCACAGCTGTTGGGGTTTTGCTCCCACCTCTGAAGGTGCGTTTTTCATTGTTAAAATACAATGTCCTGAAAGTTTGATGGCGCCTTCTGCAGTGTCCTCAGAGAGCATTTTTCATTAACCTAATTTGTATCGCAATTTGCGAGACACAGGTTCAGCCACTCAAGTTGTGTAGTATATTACCTGGTGTTTTGGATTCGTTTCTGTGGACCTTTACTAGGAAACTACCTCAGGGAAACAACATGGAAGGAAATACTTTCAGAAACTACTGAGCTATGTTAGACTTTTAAGGTCTTTTTATTTTTAGGCTATTTTTCACTCGTTTATTGGAAAAAAAGCAATTTTATTAAAATAAACTGTTTGCATAAAATCTATCCTTTTACCTAAACATGCAGCTTAGATTGGGAAAATTTCAAATGGGGTTATGAAACCTTGAGATTATATCACAAGGTATGAATCCAGTAATACTTCTGGGAGAAACCTGGGATTAGATCATGGCCATGGAAGAAAACAGGCATGGGAACTAATGACAAATTTAAGGCATTTTTTGTAGGTTAACTTCATCGCTTGCATGCAGAATACTGGATACTTTGAAACTAAGACTTAATGGCTGCAATTTCTTCCACTTTTCCCGCAATCCTGTTTTGGTTTAAGCATTCCCCAAATGGTTTGTTAAAAACGAGTCCTGTTGCTGTGACTGTACTGGAGGGGGTGGGATCCCAGATGCTAACCCAGCCAGCTCCAGGATCTGTTTAGCTGCCTCTCAGACGTCAACGGTCCCACTGGAAATCTGTTTTGACAGTAATACAAATTTGCAATGAAGTAAATGATTTACCTGGTGTGCCTGCTCAGCACCGAAGAAAACTATTGCTTATACAGCACAACAGCTCTTTGAATGGTGCTGAGTACCCTCGGCCCTCACCCATGTAAATGGCAGCCGAGATGCTCAGTTCTCCGACCTCTGCTGGCATGCTCAGCATCTCTCAGCAGCAGGAGATGGTGACTGTCACTAATTCTGCAATGGTTAGTCACTCTACAGTATTTTAGGTTTCTCTAGCACATGATTTTTGAACTTATATCTTTTTTGATCAATGGCTATTTGTTAAGAAACAGTAATGACTTGCTCAGTACTGCATAAAACAAAAACCTCCCTGCATAAGGGGAATTTACAGTGTGAAAAACAGACTAAGCAAAAAGACCTTCAGTGGAAAGAGAGGAAAAAAGATAAGGAGAAAATTGTATTAATTGTTAATTTACTTCTTGCGACTTCCAAAGCATATTATAACAAGACAGACACATGTTTTTGGAAGCAATTTAGACAAAGCCTGGGATTAGACCATGGCCACAGAAGAAAACAGGCATGGGAAGTGAGGACAAATGGCACAGTTAGTCCTGGGTTTCTGAAACAAAGAGGTAGGAGACAAACACAAAGGAAAAAGATGAGGCTGTGAAATTCCCCTTTGATACTACAAGCAAAGGTATAGAGACGGTATCTAAAGAGAGAAAGAAGGTATTGCAGGCATGATCACATTAACAACACCGTGGTTGAGTAGGTGATAGAGAAGTATAATGGGAAACAAGAACGACTTGAAAAGGTTTAAGCCATCAAATAATTTCTACTTCTGACTGTGCAGACTTAAATGCTAATAACAGTTGGCTTAACAATTGTCTGCTGCAGTAACTTCATGACAAATACAATCCTGATATAAAAAAACCAACAACTTAAAGGCATGAAAGTTCTCACAGTAAACATTAGGAAGTTCTGCAACAAACAGCGCAGTGCATTAAAACACACAGGATTCATAATTTTAAACAGTATGTTATTCAAGGCAGGAGAGTTTTTGTTTATTTGCTGTCACATATTTTAAAAGGACAATCATGCTTAATATACTTGCCTATGGGAATTCAGTGTCACATTGAAGTATGTACCTTGCATTATTAAATTCTGGGCTTAGCCAGGTTTCAGAAGGAAAAAAAGCTTGTGTGATTGAACTGTGGGTATGTCTGGGTGCACCTGTCTACCTAATCACTTCTGAACTTGGTGACTGAAATCAGTACATTTTGAAAGCTGGGAGGACAGACTTCAGAAGTAATTAATTTTTATGCCCAAGTTTCATGAAAGCAGGCAGTGGGTATAGAAATTGATGCCCTGTATGCCTCAACTATGGGAAAAATTGCCACAAGAGATGTATTGGAAAATTCCTGCAGGTCAGACAACACCGGCTGGACGGTGGCCTGCTCCCGGCAGACAGCCTTGACACAGACACTACAGCGAGCTGCAGCTGATTCCCCAGGAAACTGAAGTTTAGCCTACCAGTCTAGTCAGCCGTTTGTACTTCTCGCCAGCACCTGACGCAAGCCGGCCAGCTGCTCTCGGCCGCTCAGCATGGCACTTGGCTGCAAGTGCCCTCCAGACACGTCTGGAGTCCTTGTCACCATCTTCTGTCTTCTGATTCTTGCTGCTGGCCAGTCCGTTGAGTTTGGTCCAGCTCTCTCTGCTCTTTTTCTTGGTCCCTACCTGTAGTGCTGACTCACTGGTGGTCTGATTTTAGCCTGACAGCCCTTCCTCTTCCCCTCAAATCTGGTATGCCTCACTGATTTGTTGACCTTTGCTCAGATCCCAGCCATGTCTTTTCTTTCGCCTGATCTTAGCCTTCTCTGACTCCTGGGGACAAGACACTTTGATCACAAAGTTCTGACTCCACTGATTTCACCTGACACCAACACCAGACTTGGCAAATCCATGTCCATGCCCTGTTTTTCCTCTCCCTAGCACCTAGCTGCCCACATATCATGCTGGAGTGAGACTGACTGCATAAGGTTGGTCTCAAACTCATTCTGAGAGCAGGCAGTGCCTAAGCTAGAGGTTTCAAAAGATTTCTGGAGGATGTTAATGTCTGTGCAGTTCAGCTACAAATCACAAATTTCCCTGAAAAAAAGACTTCTGCAGCTCTGGCCTCCATCAATCTACTGCAGCTTTGCAGTAAGAAACTTTCACTAATGTGATTAACTTAGCACTAGTGGAGTTGAACCGATAAAGGAAAACAAATGCAATAGGAGGAACTTGAATGGCATGATCGAAGTCCCTCAGGTTTCTGATTAATTGTCTCTGGCACCTAAGTAAACTACCAATTCCAGATTATACATAAATTATTAAAGTATTATGCAGTCACTTCAATAAATTAGTCCATGAGCAACATAAAATACTCCTCAGGAAAAAAATTTCACTAGCCAGTTGCATTGCTGAGTATGCAGGAACATTACTGCAGTACATTCCAGACAACCTGTCTAAGGGGGAAATAACATCAACTCTCATGCTACGATTGTGTTGGGTCTGTAATCATTTTCATGCCAGCAAATAAAAACCTCTTCCTTAACTAAAGCACTCTTTTCATCACTGCACAAATCTAACAACTTACCTATCTCCCTTAGCTCACTGTCATGTATTTTATAAGACTGTCGCTCATAATTTTAGGAATTTATTTTGATTTGTTTTTAAAGGAAAGTAAGCTCAATACTGACATTTATTGTGTGCCTAAATTCCAAATTTCAGGCAGGCTTTTCTGTTCTATCAAAGAGACACGGCTGACACAGCAGACCAGTTCTAAACTTACATTCGAGAACATCTATCCTGCTTACATCAGAAAGATGTCAATTTTCAGGGAACAACATGAAAAGAAACCACAAAGCTCAACTCAGAATATTCTGTGATTTCTCCCTCTATTGTACATACCTTCATTTTCAGTATTGGCTGGAACAGAATCAACACCAAAGGGATGCCATGGCTGAAGGTCATCTAGGCTGAACTCTCCATCCACTGGAAGAAGTTCAACTGTGGTCTTAGTTTCCGTCAATGAAGGCATGAGAGCATCATTTCCATAGCTGATTCTGGGTTCACTGATCATATTGGCCAAAACGTCGTCAGAATAGTTTTGCTCTTTCTGAAGTAATTCATCTGCAAGGAAATTTCAACACAGAAATTATCTGAAAGAGCCTGTATTTTGGATGACCTATTTCCAATGCTATTAAAGTAATAATTTACTGAGATGCTGTTTTCTTATGATAAAGAAAAACAAAGGCTTGGAATAGTCAAAACTCTGCGATAAGCACTGCAGCTCCGTAAGGCATCTTTTTTAAACATCAACCAGAACTGTTCAATATCGTTTCCTACCCACATTTCCACCACATAACAGATCACAGGTCTGTGCTTTACAAGTCCCTGGACTCTTCCTCACCACTTTTAAAGGAAGCACAAATCACTTCCCTTCAACTCAACATGCTGCCATAAGTAAAAACGTGAGAGGCCCACAGGAAGGAATGTCTTTATTATTTCCCCTTCCTCTTAAAAGCTCACTATCAAAGCTTGTCACAGCTCTTAAATCCTAAATCACCACAATGGTTACTGTATTAAATTCGGCTTACTATAACACACTGAATCTGAAGAAACATTAGTTCTTTTAACATATCTAACTTTGCCAAAATACTGAACTAGTTCTTTGTTAAAAACCTTCAGCAGTAATAGGCATCTGTAGGCAAATTATTTTACAAGCAACCAGGACCTAAAGCTGTGCAATATTATCTAGGTTGGGTTTTTTTGGACTTATACAAGGTGAGAACAATCAAAGCACTTTTCAGCTCCATCAGGTGTATAGGACAGACTGTTCAACTCAGTGCTAAAAATAAGCTTGGAGGTTGTGAGTGCTTCATTAGTCCAACTCCCTTCTCACACCAAAGTTCATCCTTCACTGCCATTTTTGTGTAGGAGCAACACAGTACTTGCAAGTACTTTGAGGGAACTTGGTGCACAAGAGCACACTGAAGTAAGCAAGTGATTGCAATGAAGGAGATAAATAACTGTTAATAATGCACCAATGTAATCTGTATGCAGGTATTACAGAGCTTATCAGATCAGAATCGAAGACCGTGAAGGTGACACTACTAGAGTGCAAATGCCTGCACATGACAGCTGATGATACAAAAGCTTTTATTAAGACTGGCTTCTCTTTTCTCTTTGTTAAAGATCCCCTGACTGTCACTGCTTCACATCCACATCTGCGACCTGTAGCAATTCAGGGACAGGAGTCCCCACTCTACTGCCAGATCCTTTATGTCACTCTGTAGGGCCTCACTTATTCCCCAGTATCGTCAGTGAGAAAGGGCATCTAAATTCCTATACACACCAGAAATTTAGACCACTCAGTAAAGTCTTTTGAATGTTATTTCCCTTCCAACCTTATACTGCGCTGTACACCACAGAAGTATGCTGCACCCATGCAGCAGCCCTCAGTAAGGATCCCCACCAAGTCACGAGCATTAGAGCTGGCACTACTTCAGTACTTTCATCAGTGATGATATAGTAGGGCTCTGCTCTGCAATAAGTGTCTTAAAGATCACCCTGAGACAGCTGACATAATCCTCTGCCACTCCATTACTGCACCAAATTCGGAACACCAAAACTAAACACAAAGTGTAACCCCAGCCCTGGAGCGAACATGGGTCTTGAATCTTGTAAAATGATATTTTAAAACCAATTTTCCTGTTTAAACAGCAATTGCTTTAGTAGACAGTAAGCCTAAAGTGTACACAAAAGCTAATTCTGTGATTTAATTTGTTCATTACAGTGACTTACTAGGACAGTATAGAAAGCCTACGTAACACTGAATTGCTTTTCTTTTCATGTTCGTTTTATTGAAAACTATTATTTTATAAGATACCTAATACATCGTCAGCATGAAAGGCAAGTCCAATTTTTGTCTCCCCACTGCGCTTACACTAATCCTTTATCAAATCAAAGTGTGTCTTTCTATCAGAGTAGAGGCAGGTGAAGCAGTGTGATATTGAGCAGACATATCACATGACAGATGTTAATTTTCGTTAGCTAGGGACAAAGAGACTTCACAAAAAAGGAGCTGGATGTTAGTGGCCTGAGCAAGAAGTCTGGTGTCCAAGTGCCTTGCAGGGAGCCAGGGGAGACAGGAGTTGAGAGTGTTATAATACCAAGTCATCACAGATCACAGGAAAGTGAGTATTACAGTATCGCCAGCATCTCAGTTCCCCCAAGCCTTTCGGAGCCAGGAACCAGAAGGGTTTTGGGGTTCAGCTCCCTTCGTTCCCACTGCCCTCCCCGGCCCCAGAGGATGGCGTGGGGCAGCTGCAGAGAGCTGCAGCCCATGCAGCAGTGGCAGGGAGCGGTGCTGGGGTCTGTGCCCTCATTGCCCCTTTTCTCCCAGTGGTGCCGATTCTCCACAGCTCCTGTCCATTCCCTGCTGCCGACGCACTCCGTGTTACCTGCAGACAGCTCCTGCCCTCAGAAAGAGACAAACGGTGCACAGAGGAGAAGGAGCAGGGTGAGAAGAAGCTGAGCTCCGTCAGTGGAGGAGCGGCACCAGGGCTGGCAGGGCGTTAGGGGGGAGGCCACGGTGCAGGCACAGCTGCGCCTGCCAGGCTGACGGAGAGGAGCACCCAACTCCCATCACAATACTGTGATTATATCCAAATCCTCAGGGGCTGGGAGGGAGGCGCACACAAAGTCTGTCTCTCTCAACGCTACCCAACGGGGAGCATGTCATCGCGAGCAGTTGCAGGCTCCATTGTTTCCCGTTCCGCTGCAGCGCACGGCACGGACATTAACTGACCCGCACAATGGCTCAAGTGAGGCGGACAGATATCACAACTAGCAGATTATGATCACATCCATTTTACAAGCGGGGAAACAATGGCCAAAATGAATCAAGCCCATCTGACATGATGAGTCAGACACTGAACGATAGTGAGAAATTGGAAGTGCCTGGCTTAGAAACTGTGCTGGAGTCCATCAGACCGAGGCAGCTGTGTCTGCATTGAGTAAATCATTTGCAAACAATTGTTTCAATCTCTGAACTGCTAAAAAAGTTTGCCCTACGATTTCCAGTTATCGACACTAGTTGGCAAAGTCCAAGATCGATTTTTCAGTGTTGATTCTGTTCCAAGTATTGATAGCTACTTCAGTGATCAGTTACGCTAATGGAAACCCATCGATACAGTTCTCCCTCCCTTTTTCACAGTTGCCAACTCAATTCCCCCACCCTACAAAAGACAATTCCCTAAATAAGCAGGGACTACAGACACAGCTGGAGGCTAGGATATGCATTCAAGGCTGTTTCAGGGGTTTTCTTTGTGTGGTGAATATCTTCATTATTAGGTGCTGAAAATAGAGCGATTCTAGGCTGCTCTTCAAAATTTCATCTCCTGTCAAACCAACAGGACAAAAACCTCCAAGACAATCTTCCTATAATAAACTTTCTGTTGCAAGGCTCATTATCTCCTTGTAGCGTTCTGCTAAGTCCTGCCACCAAGAAGAATAAGGCGGATGTTGAAACTTTTTGTCCCTGAGAGCATGTGCTCAAAAGCAACCATGACCTTGGGAAAAATCCACACCCAGTTGGGACCTCAAACCTCCCAGCAGCTCTGGATTTGGTGTGAGGGCACGCAACTGCTGCTTCTCCTTCAGGCACCTATGGTTCTTCTTCAGGCACCCAAACCCCTTCTTTGTCAGGATGAGAAACAGGCTCACTTCTGGTACTTCAATAAAATGCTTCTCATGCTTATCATCATCTCTAAAAGTTTCACTCATTCTTGGGCTCACTGCAGGCATTCTCCCATGGGTCACTACTACTTAACAGCATCTAGAAAAACTCAAGTGAAATCTGTTTAGGGAACTAGATAGAAGGGTAATACCACTACAATCTCCTTTCAAGATTCTTCTCTTATCCTACAAAGTGACATAGGAAGCTAGAAGCAACAGAGTAAGAGAAACAAAATTTATTACACAATCTTCTGGTGGATGCTGGATTGTTAGAAGCCATTCATCCACAATGTCCTCGACCACACCTATACTTGTAAAGCTTTGCAAAGAGCGTTGTACTAGCAAAGATACTATGACAAATCCCAGAAGAGGTGATGGAGTTTTAGAACAGCAAAACCCATGCTATATTTTGTAACTTTATGCACTTTTTATTGGCCTACAACACTGTTTTCAATGTTGGACTCTGGGGCATACCTACTCTAGCCCTGAACTGGCATAGCTATAATGACATTTGGAACATTCATGTGAAACAGCTCCACTTGCTGCCCTGGAACACCAGCAATCCATTAGTTATCTTTCAAAACATCATTTTTATTTAGTTCATAACTCATTATTTAAAATTTCCAAAAGTAATTATAGTATTTGTTTGTCATGTTTTCTTTCCAAGGAGCCTATCTACCAGATGAAAAGCTCTGCTGTCACTATTATGTGGAAGGCTTTTGAATTTACCTGAAAAGCAGCTTTAAAACTGGCAATTGTAACTTTGAAAGTTCCATAAAGCAATTTGAGGTCTTAAACCAGTTTAGAAACAAAGTTCACCCAAAACACCTCTTCTAAACACTAATTAAGACACCATCAAATTACATGTAAGAGTTTTGACCCAACACCAAACTTCCTTTTTAAAATGACATCTATATATTGACTCAACAAATACAGGTTTGGGAACCAGCTCAAATAAATTGGTACAAATGCAGAGTCCTAGTGCCTTGTATTCATCATCTTATCAGTCACCATTCAGTCTGAATTGAACATGTGTTTTTCCTGAAGTTACGGCTGTTTTTGAGCATGTGCTTTCAAAATGACAAAATGAAGAAGTGTCAGCAACCTCCTTACTCTTCTTAATGGCAGAAATTACAGAGCACTTGAGTCATAGTGATTGCTTCACTTGCACGTGCACACATATTATCTTAAACCAGGCTGAAGACAGTTTAAATCACACAAATGCTCTATGTCACAATTAGGATTCACTAAGAACATTTACACGATCATTTACTACAGTGCATGTGGTAAGAGGTAACATGTTCAGATGCAGCTTTCAGTTGTATGCCTAGTTTATGGGCTAATTCAATATGTCATGGCTCATGATCTTCAACACAAGCATGTGTC